CATGACCCATTCCTGATGCATGGCCTAGTTCCTGCATTTTAAAACCACTTACCTTAATTCTCTGTATGTTTTAAAACCCAGGATACACAGATACTGTTCTCTTGTCATTCGTCACTATGATTTACTTACTGATAATCTACAGAAAAAGGGTGAACTGAACATGCGGGACAACTGACTCAAATGGGACACCTTTGGGTCACGAGAGCAAGTGCCTACAGTAAGCTTGGCGGCAGTTGCCTTGGTCTTCCTATGACCTTGGGGTTCCTGTTCGTGTCTCCTCTCAAGGCCTGGGGGCCTCAGTTCTTGGGCTACCAGCCTGGGTCTCTGTGTCTGTAACCTATCTTTATTTACAGGGGCGTGTTCTTTGCAGAGCTAAAGTTTTGAATTTTTAAATTTTTTTTGAGGGGTGAGTGTTGCCAACTTTTTTACTGGAAGACATCATTTTGTGAATGAACACGGCTGAGCAAGTGCCCTTGTGGTAGGACGGATCCTCCTCTAGGTATATGCCCAAGAGTGGGATAGCTGGGTCGTTAGGTAGATTGAGTTTCAACTTTCTGAGGGATCTCCATATTGATTTCCATAGTGGCTACCCAAGGCTTCACTCCCACCAGCAAGGGAGGAGTGTCCCCCTTATTCCATATCTTCACCAGCGGGAATCTCGGCCATCTGAATGTCCTCTACTCAGAACTCTCTGTTTAAATCCGCAAATATGCACCTCAGCTTTTAATTGGATTATGTTTTTTTTTTTTTAATTTCTAGTTTCTTGAGGTCTTTATATATTTTGTATGGGGGAGGGGAGGTGGGAGAGACTGAGGGATGGGAAACTATAATTGGATATGCTGTATGAGAAAAGAGTCTATTTTTAATAAAAGGAAAAATGTACCAACGTTCTATTAATATAGAAAAAGTTTCTAAAGCTTGAATTACTGAGGAAACAACAGATTTTAGAAAAACAAATTTTAAAACCACTTACTTTAAAAAAATTCTCTAAATATAATTATTGCATGACCATGTAAATCGACAGCATGTAAATATATTGCTATCAACAAACAAATAAATTGTTCAATATTTTTTTGACTTGTTGTAGACACTGAATTTATATTAAAACATTTCAACCACCAAAAACCCATCATAGCTCAAAAACATTCTAATTACATACTTATGACATGAGGGACTCAGCAATTCACTTCTTATCCCTAGTGTAGGTATAAATTAAATTTTGTGTTCCTTGCAAGAACTTACTGTTGTTTTTTTCCTAAAGTTTTCATTTAATTTTTTTATTTTGACTTTTTAATTGATTCTTTGTGAATACATCATGTATCCCAATCCCTCTGGTCTCCCTGTCCCTTCATATCTGTCCTCTCCCCCCCCCCCAAAAAAAAAAAAACAAAGAAACAACAATAATAAACCATTTCTCTGTGGAAACCGTAGTGTGTCATATAGTACACCCTTTTGTCCAGACATCCTTACTTGCAAATGTTCATTGTAATGAGCTATTGCTTTCCTAAAACTTTATTAAAAGCTTTCTTCCTTTAATGTACATTTGTTACAGAAATGACAAATTCCACTGTGATTGTTTTGTGCAAATGTATAATCCACTTTGGTCTTATTTCCCCTCCATCACCCTCTCATGTGCCTTCCCCTCTCAGTGATCCCCTCCCCGTCCAAATGGTCCCTTTCTACTTTCATGCCACAGATGTATACTTGTATGTATATGCATATTCAAACATGTGAATGCATATTCAAGTATGCGAGTACACCTATATGTGTGTGTGCATGTATGTGGAAGCACAAGGTCAATGTGAGACATCTTTCTTGATCAAGCTCCACTTTACATATTGAAGAGGCAGGTTCTCACTTGAACCCAGAGCTCCTTTATACGGCCACTCTAGCTAGCCAGCTGGCTTCAGGACCCTTTGTCTCCACCCTCTGAAGGGTAGGATTATGGGTAGGCCTCCAGTTCCACCCAATATGTATGTGGGTTCTGGAGATCTGAACTCCAATTCTTATGCCTGTGTAGCAAGCACTTTATCCACGGAAACACATTTCCAGCTTCCTAAATTTGTATATTTTAAAATGTAGATACGCCGCATGAGGGAAGACGGGATACCTGTCTTCCCAAGTTCGCTGGTTTTTGCTACATGTCTCAATTTCCACGCACACTTTTGAAGATGACACAACTTTGTTCTTCTTTATGGAATAATATTCCACTCTGTAAACATCTCGTTTATGCACTCATCAATTGATAGCCATCTAGACTGGTTCCTTATTGTGGTTATTATGAACAGTACAGCAACAAGCAAGGGGTGTGTAAGTCTCTCTGTGATAGGAGACTCAGATTCATTCAGATGCAGTCCCAGGTGTGATAGAGCCAGGTCAAGGGTAGCTCTGTTATACTGATTTCCACAGAGGCTGCACCAGCTCATACTCCTATTAGCAATGTAAACTCTAGCCCTGAAACACTGTTAATTTTTGATAATAGCCATTCCGACTGGAGTGAGATGGGAATCTCAGTGTAGTTTTGATGTGTGTTTCTCTGAAGGCTAAAGACATTGAACATTTTTTTCCCCCATAAATAAAACTGTAACAAGCAGAACACACAGCCTTCTCATCTATTGTGTTTTCTGTTAGGAGAGCGTTCGCTAGCCAGGGCTGGGCTGCTGGTCTTTCCACTTGAGACTCCTTTCCCTTCACCCAGGAGGACACTATTATCAAGTACAGGATTTGAGTGTCTGATGGCTGTTCCACGTTCCATGGTCTTCTGTGTCAGATGAGAGATTCCCTGTCGTTCAGTGGTTCTTTACAGAAACAGCAGTTGTCAACCTGTGGGTGACCTCTTTGGAGGCTAAATGACCCTTTCGCAAGGGTCACAAAACAGATATCTTGAGTATCAGACATTTACATTATAATTCACAACAGTAGCAAAATTATAGTCATGAAGTGTCAATGAAATAATTTTATGGTTGGGGTCACCACAACGTGAGGGGCTGTATTAAAGGGTCACAGCATTAGGAAGGTTGACAATCACTGCTTTACAGGCAGCACAGCCTTTTGTGGAGCTGTTTTTAAGGAGGTTTCCCCAGAGTTTTAAAGACAACAACCAGTCTTGGTGTTTTTGTTTTTGTTTTTTTTTTTATTTATTCCATTTAGGATTTGTTTATTGAATCTGTAGGCTTGTGCCTTTCACCACATTTTGGGAAGTTTTTACCCATTATCTCTTTTTCCCCTTTTATCAAAATAACTTTTAAAAATTTATTTGGTTATTCACTTTACCACTCAATTGTAGCCCCCTCCCTCCTCTCCTGGTTCCTCCCCTCTGTCCTTTCCTCATCCCTCTATCCTCCCTCCCTTTCCCCTCTAGCCAATATCTCCCTCTCTCTTTCTCTCTTTTTTGCATTATTTCTTTACGTATTTCTTCAGGTCCATGATCTACCCTTTCGTTTCTGAACAAACATTTAAAGATAAACAGATCTCCACAGGTCTTGGAGATTCCGTTTCTCTGTTGTTTGAACTGAGCAAATTTTGGTGATCTTCAGGTTCACCAATGCCATCCTGTTGATCTACCACCGAGGTCTTCCACTTTGCTTTTGGCTACTTTATTTTTACTTCAGTAGTATTTATTTGTTGTTTTAAGTAACAGCTTTCCTGAGACATAACTTTCACATAGCAAATATCCTCTTCCAAGGGCACAATGCGGCAGACTTCACTGTCTTCAGATTTGTGCAGCTATGCCAAGCAGCTGATTTTAGCACAGCGCTACTGCCTAAGAAGGAAACCTTGTGCCTTTTGTGGTCATTTTCCATCTCATCTTCCTGTGCTCCATTGGCAATTGCCAGTCTGCTTGTTGTCCTGGTGGACTTGCCCATTCTTGATATTTCGGATAAAGGAGTCACACATGGTATGTGGTCATTTGTGTCTCTCAAGGTGCACCCTCACTGCTTTGGGCTGTGTCTTACCATGTACCGAGGATGGCATTTCATGCATGACATGCTGCTGCTTGCCATCTGCCCACTGACACACACTTGGGTTACATCAGCTTTGTTTGCTGTGAACGATTGTCATCATTTACATGTGGATCCTTGGGCGGACGTTGACTTTCACATCTTAGACAAACGTAAATTCCTGGGCACCTTTCTGTTCAACTTTTTGAAGAACTGATTTCATAAGATGAGTGCTTCTGAGAAACCTTTACAAGTAGTTCCATTATTTTCCACACCGATAAAGGATGAGAGTCCAGATTTTGTCACATCCACACGTTGGCCCTACGGTTATACTTTTTTTTTCCTGTGAAATATTTTGTTTGTTTCCATTTGTTTTGAGAGCACCGCAGAAGTGTTTTTAAGGTGTCTGTTCTCAGATCCTTGCATTTAACCCTGACAGTAATCATTGAGTTATGAGTTTCTGGTTTTTCATAGGTTGGGTGGCTCACTGTGGATCTCAGACGTTTTGGCTTTGCATATGAGACTTGTGGATCCCCTATGACTGACAGGCTTGGTGTGCGGTGCTGCCCTTTCTGTGGACTTTATTTACCAATGGCAAATTTCTTTCCAATGCTGGTCTGTCTCATTCCTCTGTTTCGGTTGGGACTCTATGAATCCTCAAAGATGCCAGCTACATGACGGAAATGTTTCCCTTTGATACACTTTCTGTGCTGGTGTTGGGTTCCGGGTAAACTACGCAGACATAGACCTTCACTCTATTACTCTGCTGAAGTCAGATGGGGCACCTGTCTGGTGGTAGGGTCTGGCTGAGGTTCCCTTTCAGCAGTTATCAGTATGGGAGGAAACCACCCCAGCCCCTTGCTTATCTCTGGCAACGCTGAGGGCCAGCTAGGTCAATGGCTGCTTTGCTACAGACGGAGATGCAGAGTCGCTGATGTGTGTGGAGAAGCCCTTGCCGACCCATTGGACACAGGCTAGTGGTTCTCTTACATCTATGTACTGGCTTTGGGACAAGATCTCCTTTATTGTCACAGCTGAAGCTCTGAAATTTGTGGAGCCATGAGGACAACTCTCTGGACTCTGAGTTTGGGGCCTTGTCTCATGCTCCAGGCAGCTCTTAGTGGTAAGTTTGTTTATTTTGGTATATTTATACACATAACACTGAGGAGGCAGTAACTCTTGGGTGTCCAGCCCTGTGGTATGAGACCCATGGCATTTGATGTCTATTTGGACCACAGGGACCAGAAACTGTGTTGTATTCTCCACGACCAGGCTTAGGCTTCGCCCTGTGCCTGGGTTCTGAACTCCTGCTTGGGCTGGCCCTACACTTTCTATATTAGGGGAAGCATCCCCAAAGGGCAAGAGCTTTGCATCTCACAGCTCTCCCACCCCGGGAAGCCCAACCTTCCTCAAGCTAAGTGGGAAAGCTGGTCATAGTCTGTGGGTCCTGCAGAGGCTTTTTTGTCCAGTGTCTCCTGAGCTGTGTTGGGGTGGCAGGGTAGTGAGGGAGCCTGGCCATTGAGCAGTATCAAGTCTTAGAAGGGGCTGCCAAGGTAGGACAGGGAACATGGAGGGGGTGACCGAAGGGAAAACATGGGAGGGAGCAGTGACCGCAGGCTGAGTGTGTGTGTGTGTGTGTGTGTGTGTGTGTGTGTGTGTGTGACAGAGAGAGAGAGAGAGAGAGAGAGAGAGAGAGAGACAGCGAGCTTGAAGACATGGCAGGGTTTGTGGAAGGGAAGGATAGCAGATGTGGGCTCTTGAAACTGAGTGAGAAAAATCCTCACTCCCTGATTGTCCAGGGGCTAAGGAAGGAGGTGACCATGGTGCTGAACTGAAGTCACCCAGTACTAATGGGCTCAGCAGCTGAAACTGTGACACCCTGGGACCTGAAGAAGATAGCTGTGCATGGGGTTGCAGGGCCTAGTGACTTGCCTTTATGCTAAACGGGCAAGGTCAGAGCATGCCACTTCCAAGGAGGAGCAGGACAAGGAAGATGAGGAGGCTCGGGGAGGTGAGGCTGTAGTGAAAGTCAACCCAAGCTTCACTCCGGTGGGAGAGAAACGTAAAGGGTCCATGCTTTTTCTCCCACTGCTATATAAAATCCTTTACCAGTGGTTCTGGAGGTGTCTCTCTTGCCAAGGATGGGACCGTGTAGTCACAGTTCCTTCCGGGGAAGCACCTCTTCTTCATTAGCAGTGGTCTGGTCTCTGTCACCTTTCCAGGAAGAGCTGCTTTGCAGTTGACGACTTAAAGCAAAGCGTTAGAAGTAAGCCAGGATGAATGTAGTTTGTGGCTTCTGTCTCCCAGACCCTGGGTGGTTCTGCTCTTTTCACCAGGCATGACCTCTGAAGGTGGCCAAGATGATCTGAGGCTGGCACACAGACACAGCCCGTGTGAGGGAGTGGTGCTGGTCCGACACCAAGGGGAATGGGGTCACCTGTGCAACCAGGAATGGACTCTGGCAGAGGCCTCTGTGGTGTGTAGGCAGCTGGGCTGCGGTCCTGCATGGGTGCCCCTAAGTATGTACCTCTGCCTGGAGAGATGTCCCAGCCTTGGCTGCACAATGTATCAATGGGGCAATGAGTCCTCTCTCTGGGAGTGCAGCCTCGGGGCCTGGAGTTGGAGCATTTGCCCCCATGAGTGGGTGGTGGTGGCTCTCTGCGCAAGTAAGTGGAGCTGGGGGCAGGAGAAGTTGGCGAGAGAAAGGGAATGAGGAAGTGTTCATCCTGGGGCTCACTGGCAGAGGTTCCAGACGGGAACACCGTTAGATGCTGCCATCTTTCCTCTCTGGAGTCCTCTAATTCTTTCAACACACGAGTAGATGACAGGCGCTGACTTAGCCATGAACAAACCTGACAGATCCTGCTTGGTGGAGCATACGCTGCCAGGGAGAGGCGGAGAAAACAAGTAAAGCAGAGTGAAGCTGTGGATGGGTCCCGTTGATCTTGCAGATGGCTCCAGGAGCCGCAGGAGGCATGGACTGAAAGTTTCTGATAAAATGACCAAGAGGCCGGTGTCAGCCTTGACAAAGTCAGCCCTTGGAAGCTGACTTCTAGGGCCATCAGCTGTCACTGTGCGCTTATTTGGACCTTCCAAAGTACCCCGTGGTTGGAGTAGAACCCCATGTAATAGTGGGGCTTAGCGCCAAACAACGTTGTGGGTCTTGTTCGGCTGGATGGTGGTGGCACACACCTTTAACCCCAGCATTTGGGAGGCAGAGGCAGCTGGATCTCTGAGTTTGAGGCTAGCCTGGTTTACTGAGCAAGTTCCAGGATGTCTAGGGCTATGTAGAGAAACTCTGTCTCAAAAAACAAAACAAAACAAAACAAACAAAATGCTTTAGAGGCTGGAGAGATGACTCAGCAGTTAAGATTGAGTACTACTCTCGGAGAGAACCTGAATTTGAACCCCAGCATCCACTGAGCAGCCAATAACTGCCTGTAAATCCAGCTCTGTGTGGACGCTGAGATCCTCCTGCTGGAGCCAATGACTCCGATGCCTACAGGCACCTGCGCTTGCTCACTCACACCTACACACACAATCAAAACCAAATATTTAAAATATGATTTAGACATTTTTGGGGGGGAGGTTGACCACAAACCATTGGTCCGAATGAAGCCTGATTGATACCAGGCATTGTTCCCTGAAGCTGGCCGAGTCAGGGCCAGGTCTGACTTCTTGGAGAAGGGTAGACTGGTTTCAGTTGTCATTCCTTGGAAGCTTCCAGGTCTAGAGTGTGAGGCTGGGAAAGATGAGTGTTGCCAGATAGAAAGATCTATCGCCCAGGCAAATGCAGATTCCCCGTGGCTGTGTGACTGCAGGGCCGTTACCGTTTATAACCTGGGCTTGTGCACCACAGATGGGACCTTCCGGGAGATCAGGCAGGTGAATGGCCACAGTCCCTGTGCGGGACTTCCCGAGATCAGGAATTCAAATAGGGTGGACCGCCTCTGCGGCCTGCACGTGGAGGAGGCCGCGGTGCTCTGCCGAGAGCTGGAGTGTGGCCGTGTGCTCCAGGCTCCCCGTCAAGATTCGGGTGTCAGTAAGCACATGACCTGCCAGGGCACTGGGCCCACCATCTGCAACAGCAAACTGCGCAGCGGCTGCAGCCTCCTGCCGGATGCAGAGGTGGTCTGCTCAGGTAAGGCTACCGATCCTCAGGTAAGGCTGCCAGCGGCCCCCAGAAGGATGCCCGGGTACTGGAAAGCACAGGAGAGGTCCTTAACTCTCAGGGTTGGTTCTCACAGCAACCCGTTGTCTTGGAACATAGTAGGTTGAGAAGTGGAAGGAAAACCACAGCCTGGAACTCTGCATTGAAAGCTCCGGCACCATCAGTACTTCATAATTCCCTCCGACGGGGATCCACAGATGAAGAGCTCAGAAAGGGTCCCAGGGTGGGCTGGCAGATGGCAGAGTGGCCAGGTCTGATGTATCATTTCAACAGGATGGAGTTGGGCCAGTGTGATACCTTAGCTAAGACCAGTGGGGAGGTGTTACGTCTGTGATTGCTTCATGGCCAGTTCATGTTGGTGTGGGTTGAACATCAGTTTCCTAGTCCTAAAGTACATACATATGTTACCGGCTGTCATAGCTGCTATGTTCTGAGTGTCCACAAAAGGGTACTCATATGGCCTGGGGGGGCCTTGATATTGGCTCTGAGAGTATGGGTGTCACCATCGTGGCTGGCAGAGGTTGGGACAAATGTGAGTAGTAGAACAGGTGGCCTGACCTCTGACCTCTGGTTGCTGGTTTCTGCCAGCGTGAAAATACTGCTTGGGCAGAGGCGTTTCCCTGCCTGCATATGGAAGACAGGCAGCTCAGGGATGCTGACCTGAGAGCACTGGTCTTCTGTCTGAGGGGATGTCTGCCCTCACAGGACACGTGCAGGCCTGGCTAGCGGGTGGCGAGCATCCCTGTGCTGGACGACTGGAGGTTCTTCGGGGACTGACCTGGGGTACCATCTGCCATGCTGATCTGGACTTGCCCACAGCCCACGTGGTGTGTCAGGAGCTAGGGTGTGGTATGGCTGTGTCTACACTCAGGGGCGCTCAGTTTGGCCAGAGCTCAGGGCCTGTGTGGCTAGAAGCCTTCTGCTGTGTGGGCGATGAATCCCTGCTGTTCCACTGCCCTCGGGAGCCTGGTCACCACTGTGGCCACAACCAGGCCGCTGCAATCACCTGCTCAGGTGAGTAGCTGTGCAGGCTCTGCAGGTGAAATCCTTGCCCCTTCCTCACTAACCTCCCTCCATGACCCATGTTAGATGGCTTCGAGCAGAGCCCATACAGGTGTTTCTGGCCAGGAGGGTGATCATATTCCTGATAATCTTGACTACGCTGGTTCAGGTGGAAGAGGAGGGATGGGAAGGGCACTGATTTCATAAGGGTGTGCAGCCTGCAACACTTGGCCCCTCTGCAGCTTGGCAGAGGCGGCTACTGATAATCAGGTGGTTTAGGGTTTGCAGGAGAAGGGCTTTATCATGTTAAGTGCAGAAGAAAGAATTCACAGAAGTAGGGTCATGAACGGGGTCTCTGGGATGGGGCAGTTCTTATTTGGCCTCTTCTGCAGAGTTCCGGCTGGTCAATGGCAGCAGTGACTGTGAAGGCCGCGTGGAACTCCAAGTGCAAGGGGCCTGGGCACCCCTCTGTGCTGCCAACTGGGACCTAGCAGATGCAATGGTTCTCTGTCACCAACTGAACTGTGGCAATGCATATCCATACCTCCGGGCGGACATTTTGGAGGTGGGGATGCCCCCATCTGGCCAGATGTATTTCATTGTGTGGGGACAGAGCCTCATTTGTTGCACTGTGCAGCAAGCACGCTGGGGCCCACCCTTGTGACCTGGGAAATTCAGCTTCAAGCGTCTGTTCAGGTGAGAGCAGTAGGTTTGTGGAGAGGAAGGTCTGTAGAAGTGGCGGACCGTGGGTGAAAGTGGGCGGGGCTGTCCGGTGTGGCAATCTTCCCCTTGAGCCTGTTCCTTCCAGGTCTTCAAAATATCGTGCGACTAAGAGACGGACAGAGCTATTGCGATGGCCGTTTGGAGGTTTCCCTGTGTATTGGATGATGCTTGGGACCTTCGTGGTGCCAGCGTGGTGTGCAGGCAGCTAGGGTGTGGAGAGGCACAGCGAGCCTATGATGCTCCAGCCCCTGCTCCTTGGGCAGCCCCTGTGGGGCTGAGCCGGGTACGCTGCCTGGGCTCTGAGACTTGCCTGCTGCAGAGCAACGTGTCCACGTCCCGGCTGGTGCCTGCTGGGACCTTGCGTGACGCAGGTGTGGTGTGCTCCGGTAAGTGCGTAGCTTCCACGCCCACGGCCTCAGTCATGATATCCAGTATGTGTGACTTGGTCTCTCTGCAGGGAGCCTGAGCGTGAGGCTGGCTGCGGGCCCAGGCCGATGTGCCGGGCGTGTGGAGGTGTTCTATCAGGGCTCTTGGGGCACTTGTGTGTGATGACGCGTGGGACCTTCGGGACGCACAAGTGGTCTGCAGGCCGCTGGACTGTGGCCATGCCCTCAGTGCTCCAGGGGGTGCCCACTTTGGGGCTGGGACTGGACGCATCTGGACCGATGAGCTGGACTGCCTGGGAAATGAATCTTAGCTGCGGGAGTGCCAGCCAGGAAGCTGGGGCCAACACGACTGCAGGCACAAGGAGGATGCAGGAGCGTTCTGCTCAGGCGGGTGCTGCGTCTGGACTCTTCCGGAGCAGCTGAGTATCAAGTGCATGGCTTGGTGTCCGTGGTTACCATTTGATCTCCAGAGAGCTCTTTCTGCAGACAGACTTTATTAACACACACACACGCACACACACAAATACACACACGTATTTTTAAGTACGTTTATAAAATATTTCCCTATGGCTTGTCAAACACCCATTATTTTTCTCTTTTTCCTCCGCCTCCCTATGTATTACTCTCCCTCCCCTCTCCTTAGTTAAGCTCCCCCCCTACTTCAAAAACCTGTGCCCTCTCATTCTCTAGAAGAGTTCTCCTCTCTGCCCCCACGATCCCTTTGTACTCTCCTGGCTTTTGGTTGCTTCAGGTTATATACTCCAATCTATAGATTTGGAGTCGAGAACCATACATAAGACAGCACATGGCCTTTGTCTTTCTGGGTACTAGTTTCACTCAGGAAAGTATTTTCCAGTTTTAGCCATTTACCTGCACATTTCATGATTTCATTTTTCTTCACAGATGACAGAATACATTATGCATATGTAACACATTTTCATCATCCATTCATCAGCTGAAGGGCATCAATCAGTGTGGAGAATTCTCAGAAGGCTAAAACACATCTACCATATGAGTTAGCAATACTATTCCTTGGGTGTATACCCAAAGGACCCAATGTTCTACTACAGAGATACTTGCTTGGCAATGTTTCCAGCCACTCTATTTACAATAACTAGGAAATGAAAGCAGCCAAGACAACTCCATTTTTTTTTTTAATTTAAAGACTGAATCTTCCTTTGTCATTCTGTCTGTGTTGGAACTCTCTGTGTAGACCAGGTTGGTCTGGAACTCACAAGAGTCCTTACGGTTGTTTGTCTATTTCTTTTTCTTCCCTTCTCTTATTCGTCTCTGCTCTGGTAGTCTGAGCTAACAGGCTAATATTGGTGAGCAGGGGCACACTTACACAAGGGTGGAGATCCCCTTGTCTAAAGGCTGCTGCTTGGCCGCCTGTTTCCTGGGTGCTGGGATTAAAGTCCTGTGCCACCATACCCAACAGACACCTCCAATTCTTAGTTGTGATTTTTGTCTTACTGTGTCCTAGAGAACCTGGTTTCTTCAAATCACCCCTGAGGCTATTTGTGTTCAGCAGCTCATGGCTAAGGTCATCATTCTTGAGTTTACTATTTTGTTACTCTTCTCAGGAGAAGCGCCAGGAATTCCTGGGTGCCTTAGCAAGTTTTCCTGCTGCTTTAGACAGTGGGATCTCTGTCTTTGTGTGATTGTGTGTCCGCTCACCAATGTTAGCTTGTTAGCTCAAACTACCAGAGCACAGAATAAGAGAAGGAAGGAAAAAGAAATAGACAAACAGCCATAAGATATTAAAGAGATAGTAGGAGTGTGCACATGTTTATTTATTAAAAATAACCGTAAATATAGCTGTATTAACTTTTTCAAGTTAAAGAACCTGAGCTGATGATGCTCAATCCCCCATTCAGAAAGGCAAAGAGGATGGACATCAGAGGAGGGAGAAAACAGGGAACAGGACAGGAGCCTACTACAGAGATTTCTGGAAGGCTCTACCCTGCAAGGCATTGAGGCAGATGTTGAGAATCATAGCCAAACTTTGGACAGAGTACAGGGAATCTTATGAAAGAAGTGGGAGATAGTAAGACCTGGAGAGGACAGGAGCTCCATAAGGACAGTGACAGTTCCTAAAAGTCTGGGCAGACTTTTCTGAAACTGTCACTCCAGCCAAGGACCACTCATAAAGGCCTGGAACCCCTGCACAGAAGTAGCCTATGGCAGTTCAGGATCCAGATGGCCTCCATAGTAATGGGGACAGGGACTGTCTCTGACATGAACTGATTGGCCTGTTCTTTGATCACCTCCCCCTGAGGGGGAAGCAGCCTTACCAGGTCACAGAAGAAAACAATGCAGCCACTCCTTATGAGACCTGTTAGACTAGGGTCAGAAGGAAGGGGAGGAAGACCTTCCTTTTCAGTGGACTGGGAGAGGGACATGGATGGGGAAGAGAGAGGGTGGGATTGGGAGGGGAAGAAGGAGGGAGGTACAGGGGGGATACAAAGTGAATAAACTGTAATTAATAAAAAAAATAATTTAAAAAACCTGAGCTGAAGATGATGTTGCAAGCCAGTAATCCCAGCTTCTGAGACATATATGGGCATCAACACAGACTGCAGCCAAGAAAACAGAAAAGACATTTCAGTAAAGTGTCTACCTAGAACCAAACCCAGAATAAAACATTCAACTGAGACATATTGTCAAGAGAAACTTGTTTCGGAATTATACCTATCTGTAAAATCTGTTGGAACAAGGCAGGCATCTCCATCCCCTGGCCATTATTTTACTTTGTTTCTATGTACTTGACTAAAAACACACACACACACACACACACACATATAAGAGAGACTGTGCAGTTTTCTTGTGCCTAGCTTATTTCAATTAACACCATGTCCTTCAGGTTCATCTATGATGTCATCAGTTACAGGACTTCCATTTTATTTCTATTTTACCCATATGTGTGAGTGTCTGCATGAATGCGTTTGTACCATGTATGTACCTTGGTGCCTGGGGAGACCAGAACTGTAGTTATGGGCAGTTGTGAGCCCCTATGTGAATCCTGGAAACTGAGCATTGGTCCCTTGTGAGAGCTGCATCATTATTAAGTTCTGAGCCATCTCTGCAGCTAATTTCCCTTTCAGAAGGCTGGAAATATTATTTTCTGTCTCTGTCTCTGCTTCTGTTATGCATATCTATATTTTTTATCCATATGTAAATTCACACAAAACATCTGTATTCATCTTTCTCTGGACACATCTGCCATTTTCATGTTCTGGCTACTGTCAATCATGCTATAATCAAGAGCATGGATCTCTCTTTGACCCGCAGATTTAATTTTCCTTGGTGCTGTGTAAGTCATACTTTTCATCACTGTAACAAAATACTTAAGACATCTTAAAGGAGGACAGGGTGATGTGGGTTCATGGTTTTAGAACTTTTAGTAAACTTGTAGTGGTTTCTGGGCAAGTTTAAGCAGAAAGAAAGCAAAGTCTCTCACCTCATGGTGTTCAGGAAGCAGACAGACATGGACAAGGGCCCACCCTAGCTGTCTGCCTCCTTTCTCTGTGCCCCACCTCTTAAACTTTCTAGAATCTCTCCAAATGCTCCCACTGCCTTCAAACAAAATCTCCAATAATCCTGTGTGTGTGTGGGGGGGTATTTACTATTCAAGCCATAAGAAGACCCAGGAGTTTAACAGCTGGATTGCATGGTCTTACTTTTAGACTTCTAAGGAACCTCTGTTTTGCTTTCCATCATTGCTGGGAACCAGGACAATCCATGCACAGTTGATGCCAAGGGCCTGACTGGGCCAAATGCCATTATGTGTCTGTGACCTTTTTGGATCGGCCTGTTCCTTCTGAGCATGTCAGCGGAGGTGAAGGAGGGCCTCCCTGTGCTTTTCCTACAGAGTCTGTGGCTCTGAGGCTGCGAGGTGGCGCCAGTGGCTGTGCTGGATGGCTGGACGTGCTCTCCAGTGGGTCATGGGGTGCTGCGTGCAGCGATGCGCTCAGGGACATCTCCGTGAACATCATCTGCAGACAGCTGGGGTGCGGGGAGCAGGGCTGGCTGGAGAGCAGGCCATCTCCTGCGCCCGGCTTGGGCATCTCCTGGGTGGACAATATCAAGTGTCGAAAGCTACACACCACCACCCTTTGGCAGTGCCCTTCTGCCCCATGGAATGCACACTCCTGTACCCGGGAGGAGGAGGTCTGGATTAACTATGAAGGTGGGTGCCGAGAGTCAAAGAGAGGACCCCAGCAAAGGCTTTTATGTTCTGACCAGCCACCCAAAGGAGCTGCCCATTGAACTGGAGGCTGAGTTTGCCAACATTTCCATCTCAAGCATCACAGGCCATTTAACACAGCTAGCTGCATTTATTTTGTAGGACCACCGCAGAGAGCCCCACAGGATCCTCTACGGACCTCTAACTGTTCTCCACCCGCTGCTTAGGTATGCATCTACCAGCCTCCTGTCCACCTTGCCCATTCAGATGGGCAACACAGTGACCTCTGCACCCTTTCCAGAGGACAGCGTGCTACGTGTGGTTGGGGGTGAGGATGGCTGTTCCGGGCGTGTGGAGCTCTGGCGTGCAGGCTCGTGGGGTACAGTGTGTGACGACTCCTGGGATCTGGAGGACGCCGATGTTGTTTGCCGGCAGCTGGGCTGTGGCTGTGGCCAGGCCTTGGCTGCTCTGGGAGGGGCTGCCTTTGGCCCTGGTTTGGGGCCCGTGTGGCTGGATGAGGTGGAGTGCCTTGGCAGTGAAGTGACCCTGGAGGCCTGCCAGTCTGAGCTGTGGGCACATGGAGACTGCACACACAAAGAAGATGCCGGCGTCCATTGTGCGGGTGAGTTGGCAGCAGGCAGCAGCAGAGAAAGGCTTGCTTGGTTGATTTCTTTAGCGGTTCTTTATGCTCAGACTCATCAGTAGGTACTGGACCTTGAGGTGTGGGGCTTCACTGGGAACTCCCTGTAATCCCATGTGATTCATGCTAAGCTGGCAGTTGGTAGAGGCTACCCGCTAGGCGCGGGCACATCTCTTCTGCTGAGGTTTCCCATCTCCTACTTCTCTTGCAGCTGTCTCCTCCACCACTTCATTGCATAAGTTCTCTTTCTCAGTGCAGCCTTTTCCCCTTCCATCACCCAGAGGGCTTGCAGTAGAGCTCACTTCTGACTTGCCCACTTTGGAAAGCCATGCTATTACGGCCACACCACCGAGATCAGATCTAGGCCGCATCATGAATCTGTGATGGAAATTCTTCCCTCCTCTGTGCCCGCTGCATGGGAAAGCTGTTGGGTAGCAGGGGTCACGAGTCCTCACTTTTTAAGGCCCTTAATTTGGGGATTATGTTGCGTAGCCTTGGCATGCTGTGTTCTCTTGGACAGTTTTTGCCTAGTGCAGAGTGGAGGGTAGAGCAGTGAGGACTCCAAGCCTTGCCCTGTGCCCACGTCTGTGTCTTTTATCTTTGTCCCCTGCCTGGTTCCTCATCCTTGAACATTCCTATTGTATTTCCCTATGGCATCTCCACAACTACCCACATGGGCTTTCATCCGTCCTCTACTCTGGGGCATCTGGGATCTCCTTTTTTGCTAGTTTCCCATATAAATCTTTAGACCATTTCCCTTGAGGAGCAGCAAGATGTTCTCAGCTATTCTGGGGATCCAGTTGTCCTGGGTGTCCCACCCCCTTTCTGCAAGGCTGAGGTCATTTAAGCCTAGGGTCAGCTTATTCCATACAGCTAAGGCACAGCTGTCTCTATGACCCACAGCTCCTTACCTGCCCACTCCACCCATTGCTGAGGTCTGGAACCTAACTGAGATTGCCTGCTTGGTGCTTGGCTGCCTCTTGGGCACTGTCTTCCTGGTTATGGCTGCTCGGTGGTGCCACATCAGAGATTCTTGCAAGGGTATGGCATGTACTGGTATGGTTTTCAGGGGGAAATGTGACAGGAAACTGGGGGAAGCTATATGAGATCCTGACCCCATCAGGAATATCTTGTTCTTGTCATTGCCCTGCATTCTGGCAGGTCTCTGGTAGCCACTGGCAAGCTGGATTCTGGGGGACCCTAAGGTGTGGTCTAGAGGATGTTGGGATCTTTTTCTCCATGCTTCCAAGTTGGCTAGATAGGGACGTTGTGTCTCCCTCCATCCCCTGTGCTGTCTCCCAGTGGGATACTTCAGGGATGAGATCTGGCCATGATACCCACAAACCCCATTCCAGACCTTTGAGCCCATGTGTTTCTGGAAGTCAGGGGTTGATCCAATGAGCAGTTTCATCACATAGAGGAGGCTGCAGGTCCCAGGAGGGTGGGCTGGATCGAGAGCAACGCTTGTTCTGGAAGATTCTGGGATGGTCGCCACAGGTTCTAGAATGTTGGATCATCTACAGTCAGACGGTGTCTATGAGGACATTGAAGTTGTTCCTGTGCAGCAAGGAGAGGAGCAGACCACAGCATCCAGGCTACTGATGCAGGAAGAGGATTATGAAGATGCTGAAGAGCCTGATGTGCACCGCTGAGCTTCATAGGTATGCCCATGAGGGGAGATCCATCATCCGCCTGTATCATTGCTTCCTTATGGTGGTTCTGCCACAGCTGCTGCATTTAAAGGACCAAACAGCTACTTCTAAGTGTCTCTGACCCCTGGTCCCACATCGGTCCTGGACACTGGGCTATGCCTCTACGCTTTCAAGGTTGGTCCTTTGAGTCCTCTACTGAACAGGCATACAGTCTGAGTAGTCCTTGCTGCTCCCTTGGCCCCTTTATGAGCCACACATAATGTCCTTTTATAACTTTGTCCATGGTGGCTGTAGGAGAGACTCTGGATAAACAGTGAGCTAGAAGGGGTGGACTGTCTGAGTACCAAGAGCTGTCACCTGAGTCATTACCGCAATTCCCATGGTCCATCCCTTTGTGGCTTTGATCTTCAGTGGAAAACCTAGAGTGGATGATGCCTGTGAAATGCATATTACAGTGCTTGTATCTTTTCCTAAACAGACAGGCATCTTTGCAGCTCAATGCAAAGAACTAAAACAGGCTAGAACCTGGAGGCAGGAGCTGATGCAGAAACTGGGAAAGAAGATATGGTAGTTCCTATTCCAATGCCAGATGTCCTTGCTTGACCTTAGGGGTCACAAGACTGGCCTATTCCTGGGAGACGAAGGCTTTCCTCACCCTCTTTTATTACATAGATGTTATTAAACTTTGGATTCACAGATTAATTATTAGTCCTTCCAGAAACTGTTATCAGATTCGGCTATGGTTCTCATTCTGTTTTGGGCCTCATTTTTTTTTTTCTGACCTCTTACCTCTGTTCTTTGTTCTGTGGACTTTGCAGGACTCTCATCCATCATTCTCACAGTTCCCTTGAGGGGTAGCTGGCCTCCCAAGTGAAGCATGGTGTTGACGCATGCCTGACAATGGACGGGTCAACGGACATGGCACTACAGCTCTCAAGCCTGTCCTGTCTTGATCTCAGAATACACTGGAAGCCTGATGGTTATTGCGGGATGAAACTTTTACTTGGGAGACGCAACATACATGCCTGTTCATCTCAGATAGGGATTCTATGATAAAACAATGAACAGGTACCATCAAAGTCCAACTTGAGTTTTACTGGGGCAACTTACAGGAATATGGATGAGGGGTTACTTACAGGGGCAGAATGACTCAAGGACAGCTGCATCAGCAAAGCTCACCCCAGCATGCATGACAGTTCACACAGCTGGGAAGCTGGAGCACACCATACAGCCTGCAGGCTGATCAACTGGATGGAGAGTGCCCTTTACAGGTGCTTCTTTTGGTTTAAACTCTCTTTTAGGCAGCTGACTGGTTTCAGCTTTTTCCATGCAGGTCTGGTCTTAAGAGTTTTCTTTGCAGATCAGCTACAAGAGGGACTCTCAACTATTATTGCTATTCTGGCAGGGAGGGGCCTAGTGAATCTGATCAGTTTCAGGAACTTCCTGAAGGTTTTTTGAGTTGTTTACACTCCTGCTTAAGGAACTTTCTTGCAGGAATAAATGTTTCAATCTCAGAGGAAATTGTTTTACAACAATGGTATGATAAAAGTTTATGTGACCATACCCTCACAACCAACACTGGCCACCTTTCTCCAGGACCATAGCCTCCTAATCCAGACCAACCTGGGGCCTCTTTTCTCACCAAAGCGGCCCATGATCATACTCTCATATCCACCTCTATCCATAGCCCATCTACTAATGACCACTGTGTCTGACTTTCTCTGTAGATGAGCCCCTCTAGGAATACATACTTCCATATACCCTTTCCAATACCACAGGCTTTCTGGAAACTGTATTCTGGTGTCTTCTTCCCTGTTTCATGCAAAGTAGACTGTTCATGTGTGTTCGGATCTATCATCTGATAAAAACAGACCCTCATGAGGTCCTTACGAACACCGGAGTCTTCTAGTATCCTAGTGTACCACTGACCATTACAGTGTCATGGAAGAAAGTAGAACCTCCTGGCATGCCCTTGAGCATGTGATCTCTCATTTCTCTTGTTGTCATGGTAGAGTCACCCCTGGAATGCTGGTGGATTTTTGGCCTACATGGTGGGAAAATAGTGAAAGTGTTAGTTTTGACCCCAGGAAACTCTGGATGCTTCAGAGTCAGTTAACATTCCATTAGTTCACGGGATTGTTCACATCACATCTACTTTTATGAGCTGGGCTCTGCTCCATGTGATGTTAGAACAACGGCAGACTGAGTAGGAGCTGGGTAACTGGATTAAGGGAGCTCAGCTGAAAGCCTCAGAGTTGAGAAATCCACCCACCGCCATATGCTGAGCATGTGGGGAAAGACATCAGAGACCTGCCTGCTCCCGCATGGCACTGGCTGGCTGTAGCCTGCTACCACGCCACCTGATGTGGGCAGAGGTCACCCAGAGGCCCACCAACCATGTGGGCCCCCTGCAGTAAGACACACTATAATGTGCTAATCTGTACAGATCTGGGCAGATAGGAAAGAGAAGCAGAATAATTTGGGCATTATGAAGAGATATGGGACTGGAGAGAAGAGGGTGGAAAGGAATGGCCTGTCCTGAGGAATCAGCCTCGCCACCTGAGGCCATGGTGAAGTTCCTGCCTGTACTGCCGCTGAGAGCCATGTTTGGGTCCTTGTCTATGCAGCACGGGTCAGCCCATTGCTCATATTACTGCTAGAGACCATGCAGATGTCCTGGTCTGGGCAGCTGCCTGGGACCAAGGGCTATGCAGAACTGGTCCCACCCCTCACTGGCTTTAACACGCTGCAGAACTATCCCCACCTCCCCACACTGTAGTAATTAGAAGAGCAGGCCCTGCCCTTCATCTAGGCAGCACCATGGAGCTGGCCCTGTGGCAAAGGCATGCAGAAACTGGCCCTGAGGTTGTGACCATAGGATAGATGATCCTGCCGCTTGTCTGCCCTGAGATGACACAGGTGTAGAAGTGATGCTCTCCTTGTCCCTTGCCCCTAACCACCTGCAACAGTTGGGAGAGCTGGTCCCAAACTCATTAGAGCAGTAGAGCTGGCCCTGCCTCTCACTAGCTACAGCACCCAGGAGAGCAGACCCTCCACATCACCTGGGCAGCACAGTAGAGCTGGCCCTCATGGCAGGAGCAAAAAAGGAGCCAGCCCTGAGGAGGTTAGAGCAGGAGAGCTTTCCCAGTCTCAAGGCTGCAGCATTTGGGAGAATGGGCCCCACTGGCTCTGGTGGCATGGGTGTGGGTGAGCCAGCTCCGAAGGCATGAGAGCTGGAGAGCTGACCGTACCTCTTGCCAGAGGAAGCACTGGGTGGGCTGGCCAGGCAGTGCTGGAGAGCTTGCCCTGGTGGTGTAGATATGGGAGAGCTGGTGGGCCCAGATCCAGGGCTTTGAGTTGGCCCACCCCAAAATCATCTGTGAAGAGTTGGAGCTCATGAAAGGGCTAGTCCTGTTGATCTAAAGCTGAAGGAGCAGCATGACACAGGGCAATCAACAGGATAACTAGGAGGACTCTGTGTGAGGGTCAAATGTTGATGGTGTGGCAGAAGCTAGAGGCCTCAAACCAGACCAATAACTGTTTGCAATGAACAGTTGTAAGTGAGGATGTGTGGGCAGAAGGGTGTACTGTGGGAGACACTGTGTCACACTACAGCTTCCACACGAGATGTTTTCTATGCGTTTTGGGTTTTTCTGTTTTGTTTGTTTTTCATTCTCTTTTGGGGGAGAGGTTTCAAGGATGGAGGGCAGATACGAGGAGATGGGAGATGAGTAGGGCTGGGGTGCCTGATGTGAAACTCACAAAGAATCAATAAAAAAGTAAAAATAAAAAGTATCTGAGTCCATTGAAACTCCCTAGGCAGGAAAAATTCTGGCTCTCCACTGCCTTGTGCTCTCAGCTGCAGCCTGGTGTTCTCCTGGCTGTGGGATCGTTTTCCTTCACCCTCTTTCCTTCCCCGTCAGGACCTGCTGTCCTCTCTGGAAGCTTTAGAATACCTCTGAGTACTTTCAGGAGGAATGTCTCTAACTTCTGCTGGAAAATATGAAAACACCTTTCTTTCTTTTTCTTCAGAGCATGGGAAATTCTGTATATACCTGGTGGAGTAACCTAATAAAAGTCTCTGTAGGGGAGACTTTTACTTTCTGCGATCCAGATTTAGCCTGTATGATCTGGGCAAAGTGAGGGCTACTGTGGTCGTGGGTGTAATGAGGTACACCTTATTACCAGAATCTCTTCCTGTTTGGGGAAGTGGGCCCATCTCTGTTGTCAGATCTCTGTACTGCATCTTCACGGTGGCTGACATCCAGGCAAACCCCTGCTGGTATCAGGGTATATGCAGAAGTGTCACAGTGTACCTGTGACACTCTGTGTCACTATTGTCGTTCTTTTCTGTTTGTTTTGTTTTATAGCAATTCAAAGTCTTTATTTCAGCTGGCTTGGGACTACACTCCGTTATTCAGGACCGAAGTGTAGTAGTGAGTATTTAGAGTAAGGGTTTTTAAAGGCAAAACCCCACCCTGGCATCTCACCTAGCAGCTGCAGGGGAGATTTTACATAGCAAGCAGTTTTTTAAATTAAATTTTAATTTTTTACATTAATTACATTTTATTTGCTTTGTATCCTAGCTGTAGCCCCCTCCTTCATTCCCTTTCAATCCTACCTTCCCTCCCTCATCTCTTCCCATGCTCTTCTCCAAGTCCACTGATAGGGGAGGTCCTCCTCCCATTCCATCTGACCCTATCAGGTCTCATCAGAACTGGCTGCAATTTCTTCCTCTGTGGCCTGGCAAGGCTGCTCCCTCTTCAGGTGTGTGTGTGTGTGTGTGTGTGTGTGTGTGTGTGTGTGTGTGTGTAAGAGCCTGTCACTGAGTTCATGTCAGAGACAGTCTCTGTTCTCCTTACTAAGGAACCCACTTGGATACTGAGCTACCATGGGCTACATCTGTGCAGGAATGATCCCTCAGAAAAGACCCCTGTGCCCAGATATTTTGGTTCTGTTGTTCTCCTTGTGGAGCTCCTGTCCTCTCCAGGTCTTACTAACTCCAGGTCTTACTAACTCCCCTTCTTTCATATGATTTCTTGTACTCTGCCCAAAGTTTGGTTATGAGTCTCAGCATCTGCCCATGTTCTTAGCAGCTTTAGTCGTAATAGCCAGAACCTGGAAACAACCCAGATGTTCCTCAATGGAGGAATGGATACAGAAATTATAGTGTATTTTGGAATACACAATGGAATACTACTCAGCAATTACAAGCAAGGAAATCATGAAATTTGCAGGCAAATGATGGCATCTAGAAAAGATCATTCTGAGTGAGGTATCCCAGAAGCAGAAAGACACACATGGTATATACTCACTTATAAGTGGATACTAGACCTATAATATAGGATAAACATACTAAAATCTGTACACCTAAAGAAACTAAACAAGAAGGAGGACCCTGAGTAAGATGATCAATCCTCACTCAGAAAGACAAACTGGGTGGACACTGGAAGAAGAAGAAAACAGGAAACAGGACAGGAGCCTACCACAGAGGGCCTCTGAAAGACTCTACCCAGCACAGCAAGCAGTTTATCAGAAGCTAAGACAAGCAGTTATCTGGAGGGGGAGGTTTGTATAAGAAGGCAGTTTAACAGAAGCCAAGATAACTTGACTCAGACGTTTTGACTTCAAGTCTGTAGAATAGAGTTCAATAATTTTCCACAGGGCCTTTCATTAAGAAGATCAAATTTTAGCTAGACCTAAAATGGCCTCAGCAAGAGAATCCAAGATGGAGGAACCTCTGTACTGCCTTGCCCTGTCACAATGGTGCTATACTGTCTTGTCAAGTTGAGCAAGATTCAGGTGTCAACACATCACTTGGGGTTAGGGATGTAGCCTGGTGGTTCAGCCCTTGTCTGGTATACGAGATCCCCAGCTTAATCTCCATCAGAGAAAATAAATAAATAAATAAAATAAAGTTCAAATAGCAAAAAAGTTACTTGTTTAAAGTGGTAAATGGGAAGGTCTTTCACAGAATATCTGATCTTTTTCTTTCTTTTTAAAATTTTATTTATCGTTGTAGGTCTCCGCACACATGCCAAAATGCACAACTTGTACAAGCTGGTACTAATTCAAGTTGTCAGGATTGGCAGCAAGCCCCTTTACCTACTAAGCCCTCCTGCCAGCCTCCACATAGCTCTTCTCAAAGGATAGATTTGTTGGGCTTGATATGGTGGCAGTACCGAAGATCCCAACACATTAGACTCATCGACAGGAGGATCAGGAGTACCAAATCATCCTCAGCTGCATAGCAAATTCAAGGGCAGCCTGGGTTAGGATGCTCTGTTTTAACAAACCAAAATAAAAAACAATTACTGCTTTTATTAGTAATCACAAAGGTGATATGTACTATAACAATATAAACTTTGGATATTTTATATTCAAATTATATATATCTACATATCATATCTCTAATATATGTAACCATGTATAACATATACAACGTATTATGGAACTGGGAGATTTTAGAAGAACACAGAAATAGCTACCTTTCATTAGTCTATACGCGACGATCCTGAAATGCATGCATCTTTTGAGCTCATACTAAGCCCAGTTGTGTATTCAGTTGTCTTTCATTCAACAATACGGGGTGAACACTGTGAAATTTGCTTTTTGAGAACATGGTGTTTAATTTTTGCCTATTGTCATTCTTTAAAAAAAACACAAATTATTTATTCTTTGAGAAAGCCATATATGTATACAATATATTTTAGCCATATTCACTTCCTGCCCCCCGCCCCTCCAACAACCTCCAGAGTCTCCCAATGCCTCTCCCAACTTCATGTTCTCTTTTTACTTTATTTTACCCCCTTGAGTCTAGTTAGGGCTGACACCAGTGGATCCGAGGCTAGCCACGGGAGCATGAGCACCCGATTAGTAACCATACCTACAAAAAAGAAACCAGGAAGAGTTCCTCAGGTAGGGGCGTGGCCTGGTGAGCCCCTCCTCTGCCTGGTCATTCCTAATAATTTCACATTTAAGATCTTTGAATTTTCATTTTCTTCTGGACCCTGTGCATTTTGTCATGGGTATATGTTTTTATTTGTTGAGACTATTTTTTTTTTTTTTTTCTGAAGGGAAACGAAGGAGTGAGTTTGGGGACTGAGAGGAGCAGAGGAAGGGGAAACTGGTTGGGATGTAACGTGTGAGAGAAAGAGTCTATGTGGCAGACTAAGCACAAAAGCAAACTGAAAATTATCCCACACTCTACCTTTTATAAATGCTCTCCTGAGACTGTGTGGTGTAGATTCATTGCAAACTTTCTTTGCAGCAGTGCAGACTTCAGCCCGATGAGCGAAGTTCATCAGTACTTACTGAATGTTTTCCCTTTGACAACCCGCTCGCTACTCATAGAGGCTTGTCAACAAGCAGATGTTTAAACCATGGCGGCATCGTGTCCTCTTGTCTAAACAGTCTTTAGTTTGTCTACTACCCTGGTAAGGTGGACTTGCTGGTGTGACCACTAGGTAGGCATGTTCCCTCAGAGAGACATACACTCTTCCTGTGGCTGGGCCCAGGGCAAACATGTTGAAAGCATTGCCATTAAAACGCCAAGTCTGTCTGTTGACAACAAACCGATCTTGGAAGAATTCTTGTCTTTAGCCTGATCCTCTGTTTGAGGCAGAAAGCCTTTGATGTCTTTTCTGACACAGCCTTGGCAGATACAGCCATACAGGTCTTTCTGTGAGGAGACGCCTTGCTCTCCACGCACCTGGGACTGCTTTGGGCACGAGCTACAGGAAGCCCCACAGTGCTGGCACTCTCTGGGCTCTGGCACTGGTGGGTGAGTGCTTGCTCTGGGTGAGAGATGACTGCTCTATGGTTGGGGAGGAGCCTATGGTGCTGAAGACCTCTGGCTCCAGAATATTGTCACCCTGGCTGGGAGTCCGCCTTCTTTCTGAAGGCAGAGACAGGCTCTGTCTGTTCTGAGGCCATCAGCCTAGGGAACTGCACTTACAAGGAGACCTGGCATGGCACTCTCCTCTCTCAGGCTGTGGCCCCTGCTGCTGCTGCTGGTTTACTGGACTCTCCCTCCTGGTGAGTGTGTAAAGGCCTTGGGTGTCAGGGACACAGGCATATAGAACATAGGTGACTGCGTTCAGGGACGGCACAGCACTGATGTCTGATGCCTCACTTTGTGTGTGTTTATTTCTGCTGACTTTGATTTTACCAAAGCAACCATTTGGTTTCCATAACAGTGCAGAATATTTATGACTGGGAAACAGGTAAAAAGGAGAAAGTGGGATGAGTACTGAAGATAAGCTGTCCTTTTCTGTGACAGGGTATCTCTGTGTAGCCCTGGCTGTCCTGGAACTTTCCCTGTAGTCCAGGCTGGCCTTGAACTCAGAGATGCGCCTCCCAGGGCTGGGAGTAAAGGCATGAACCACCATGCCCAGCTGAAGATGAGCTTTCTAATCATGAAGCATGCTAATCATTTCATTCTAAGTAAAATACAGAATGTCATTCCTGTGTCTTTTGTTCTTACTCCCGAAGCTTTGGCCGCTGAGGACTTCGTGAATTTCCTGGGTGGCGATAATAAATGTGAAGGCCAGATACAGTTGCAGTATGACGGGCAGTTGGGCCTTGTGTGTGGAGACAGCTTAGGCATGCAGGAGGCCTTGGTGATCTGCAGACAGCTGGGTTGTGGCTCTGTGCATTCCCTTTCCCAGTATATTCTGACACCCGAAGAGATGACGCAACCTTGGCTATACAGTGCCCAGTGCCATGGCGAGGAGGCCACCCTCTGGGAGTGTGTCCTAGGGCCTTGGGGGCCCATCAGCGGCTGCAAATGCCAGTGTGTGGCTGTGATTATCTGCTCAGGTAGGTTAGATGGAAGCCACAGGCTCCTTGGTCCCTGGGGCTTTTTTCTCTATCTTGATCATGGAGGCATTGAGGCAAATGCCCGGGAAAGGTATGAACATGTTTTGTGTGTGGAGCCTTAACAGTGGTCAGTCCTCACCTTCTGTAGACACTTTCTCAGTAACTTTAAATAAGATCTCAAAGCCTTTGAAGTTAGCTACTTCCCTTGTTAATACTGACCATTAGAGAGAATGGTACCTTCTCACTATGCATAAGGCTCCAGCCAAGGAGTTAGCCACATGGTACGGGGGTAGGAGTCCTGGCCCACACCCACGGCAGGATGGGATTTGTTACCTCAGGAAAACAGCAATGGATGGGAACACCTCTAAGGGCACCATGGACAACAACTCAATGTGGGGCATCAGTGCCCATCCTTATGTTTGCCCTAGGGTCAGGATACCAAGACTCAGTTTCTCTTCTATGCCACCAGGTGGTACCACACGACAAATTGGGCTAGCTGGTGGCGGCAGTCCTTGTGCTGGGATTCCAGAGGCCACTGGCCTTTCCAGTTTTGCCCTGAGATGTGACTTGCATGAGAAGGAGGCTGGCGTTCTGTGCAGAGAGCTGGAATGTGGCACTGCTTTGCAATGGTCCAGAGCCCACCCTGGAATGAACGGGCATCAGGAAGAGAAGTACATTAAATGCCAGGGAACAGAGCCTGACATTTTTCATTGCCAGATCAATGTGAACTACCTAGAGCAATGCGACCTTCTGACCTATACCCAGGTGATATGCACAGGTAGGAGAGCCATGCTGAGTATTTTGGTCTTCATATTGAATATTGAGACCCAGGTATCTACTCCACAGTAGTGTCATTGAATCCCTACCCCAGATGCATACCTGAAAATAATCCACTTTGCTACCAAGAGGTAGGTATGGGAGATCCTGAGGAGTCCTCTGAAATCAGTGCTCATTACCCTTTCCAGGACACAGATGGCCATGATATTATAGAAGCCAAATGACTAGAAGGAGTGTTTGTACTCAGAATCCATATGGCATCCAAGGCTCAAGGGAGGACAGAACAGGGGATCACGGTCATTGGTCTGTTGATCCCAGCACCCACCATGTGGTCTTCTGTATTAGGGGTAATGAAGGTGGGCCTGGATCCTTCTACACCATTCCTTTCTGGGGACCGGATGACAGCCATCAGGTCATGTCATCCAGTGCCTGCATGGAGCCTCCCCTGACCTTAGTTGTGTACGTCCAGCATTTATCACAAGGATACATGGAGGTCTGGCTCGTGGATGGTGAACCCTGTGAGGGTTTCCAGGAGGCTCTGTGAGGGCTGACCGAGGACACCATCTGCAGGCTGACCTGGCCTTGCTCACTTGCTCACAGTTTGCACAGTTTGCCAGGAGCTGGTGTATGGTGCGGCTGCATCCACATCTGGGGGTTCCCACTTTGTCTAGGGTTCCGTGCCTGTGTAGAAGCGGGCCTTCCACTGTGTGGCAATGAATCACTGATGCTCCATTGTTCATTAGATCCTGGACACTTCTGTGGCCATGACCAAGATGTGTCACTAACTTTTCCAGGGGAAAGTGAGTCAGCTTATGGACTGGCAGGGTGTGATGTGATGTGGTCAAGGTCTGGGGTCTGCGGTCTGGGGTCTGTGCCGTGATCACCATGGACAACTAGGCAGATAACTCAGGACCCATGTCTTCTGACCCATAGGTTCCTTGGTTTCCTTCTCACCTTCTCTAACCTTTCAGATTTGTTCACTTTTGTTTACTTTTGGACATGTCTGCTCAGCTCTGTGGTTGATATCAGAAATAGGCAGTCTGTGTGTTTTTTTGGGAGGTGTTGATGGTTTTGCATGATTTTAATGGCAGAACTTGTTAACATATGCCCATGCTCCATAACTCCATCCTGTGTGTTGCTCCCTTGTGACAAGATCCTATTGTATACACTGCTTCAACTTTGTTTCACCCCAACCTGTTTTCTGCTTAGTACTTTGCTTTGGTGTCACACTTAAAAATTGACATTACAAGTTCAAATCCCTCCAACACCACTGCTGCTTTCTTTTGTCCTTTAGCACTATGTCCTGGGCTTTGATGGGTCTTCAGTTACTTTGTTTCTGGTGTGGGGAGGACCTGAACCATGCATTCAACATGGATTATCAGTTTCTCCAGAACCTTGTTAGAGACATTGTTCTTGCTACGTGAATGGCCATAACCCCTTTAAGAAATTTGATGACTATAAGTGTGTGTGAGATTTCTGTACTATTATTTCTTTCCCACTGGTCTCTGTGTGTACAGTGCTGTGGTTCATGTAGCTATGTTGTAATTTTCAAATTGAGGAAGCAAGTGTCTAGCTGCTTTTATGGTTGTGGGCCTTTGGAAATCCTCATTCCTACAAGAATACTAGGATTAACCTTCTAACTTTCCAAGCACCTGCTCAGGTTCTGACAGAGACGGCAGTGCATCTGCAGACTGCTTTGGGTGAGGTCATCATCTTCTCAGACCATGTTCTCAGCCCTTGATATGAGGCCTGCCCCCCCACTATGTAGATTTTGTGCAGATTTCCTTTCTTTTTGATAAATTTAATTTATTAGAAATGCAACAGATAGTATCATCTGCCTAGCCATAGGTTCTTGGTCTGATAATAGTTTCAAGTATGTGTTTCATCTTATACAGTAGGACTTGTATTCAACCAGAAAGGAGTTGGTTACTCCCTAACATCCCTGCCGTTATTGTGCTAATGGTCACGTCTTGCCAGGCCAGCCACTTTTATAGCCCTCAGGGTCCATGGCTAGGTAAGACTGATGATTACTTTTCTCCTCTAGTAGAACCTTTCAGCATTATGAAAGCTGGGTGGTAAGGATGAGATTTCCAGGTCAGTACCCACTTGATTTTTTTTTCAAGTCCTATGACTCAAGTATGTGGTGTCCTCAGCAATAGGGTCTCACGGTCAAGTTCTGGAGGTTAATTAAGTGCAATGGCAATAGCATGTACTGTTTGGGCATCTTTGTAACCTCAATGGCCAACCACTTGAAAGAAGTAGCCCAATCTTAGCACTGGACTTTTTGCTTGATAGCTTGTGGTATCTAATTATTGCATTACATTATTTAATACTGTCGTGGCTAGTTTTTGTTTGTTTGTTTGTTTGTTTTTTTATCGACTTGACACAGCAAGAGTCATTTGGGAAGAGGAACCTCAATGGGGAAAATACCTACATCAGACTCCCTGTAGGAACGTCTGTGGGGGCATTTCCTGATTAACGATTGATGTGGGAGGGCATGGCCCACTGTGGGTAGTGCCACCCCTGGTTAGGTGGTCCTGAGGTACATAAGAAATCAGGCTGTGAGAGAGCCATGGGGACCAATCCATAGAGTAGTTCCTTCATAGCCTATGCTTCAGTTCCTGCCTCCAGGTTTCCTGCTTGAGTTCCTGCCCAGACTTCCTTTCATGACAGACTATAGGCCGTAAGCTGATTTCTGCCCCCACCTCCCAGGTTTTTTTGGTCATGGTATCTTATCACAGCAATAGAAACGAAGCTAGAAGAAAGAACGGGTACCAGGGAGCCTGACAGACCTGGCCATGTTGTGTTTGGGATACTCGTAGGAGTACTTTGAAATTTTGTACCGGAAAAATCTTGCTTAGAGCTTAGTAGGCTGTGGTGGAAGCTTGAAAGCCCAAGATGCTGAAAGAGTCACAGGCAATCGAGGCCTGGCTTGGAAGGTTTCAGAGGGAAGCAAAGACTCTATCAGGGCTATTTGTGTAAGATTTTGGGTTAAGAATTTGTTGTCAGCTAGAATTGAAAAATCAGCTGTGATTAACAGATCAGAACCACTGAAGTGAAATGTTGTTTTAAAATTTTTCTCTATTAACCCATTTATTTATTCACTTTACATCCTGATTGCACTCTCCCACCCCTCTCCCCCCAGAAATGTTGCTTTGCCAGGACAACTGATTCTGGTTAGAGGGTGCTAAGGAATAAACCGCAATAAGGAGACTAGCATCCTTGAGGCAAAATCTTCTAGAGGAGTATTTCTTCAGGGCCTACACACAGAAGCTGTGGCTGGGAGTAGGGTAGGGGTAAAACTGCATCTCATCCTGGCTTCCAGGCTTGGTAATGTGTAAAAGTCTTTCCTGGTGGTACTGGTTTTGGCAGCATGAGAACCCTAGGACTTAAGGGGTCATAGAAACCAGTTGAGGCTTGACACCATGTGTCAGGATCAGAGTCCCTGAAGAGAGCCCGGTACAGGCTACTGGTGAAGACTCAGTCTAGTTGCAATGGTGACCTTAGAATTTTGGAGATGCCACTACCATGGAATGACCATGAAGGACTGCAGCAGCTGCGGAACGGAGCTGGCTTGAGCCTTTGAAGCAATCTGTGTGCTGTGGAGGGCAGATCCTGGCAAGTGGACCTTCCCAAGCCCATTGGAGCTAGAAGATCATGAGTGAATCTCAGCTGTCTTACCCCAGTCAGACTGGCTAACATCAGCAAAATGAATGACAGAAAACTCTGGTGAGGTTGTGGGGAAAGAGGAACCCTCAGTCACTGTTGGTGTGGATGCAAAGTTAGTGTGACCACTATGGAAATCTGTATGGGAATCCTCAAAAAGCTAAAAAGAGGTCTATGATGTGACCCAGCTATACCATGCCTTGACATATGCCCAAAGGACTTGACATTCTATTCTACAGGTCCTTATTGAGCAATGTTCATTGCCACCCTATCCAAATCATCCAGGAAATGGAAACAACCTGAATGTCCTTCAACAGATGAATGGATGATGAAAATATGCAATAAGTATACACAATAGAATACTATTCATCTGTAAAGAAAAATGAAATTATGATGAAATAATGAAATTATGATAAGTGGATGGACCTAGAAAAGATTATATTGAATGAGGTAGCCCAGATCCAGAAAGACAAACACAATATGTTCTCTCTCACTTGGGATTCCTAGCTCCAAAACTTCATATGTGAGTGTACAACATGGAGTAACCACAGAAACCAGGAAAGTATAAGGGACCACGGATGGTGGCAAAGGAGTAGGGCTATTGAGGGGAATAACAGAATATAGTCAATATGAATCTGTAAATAGAAAATTTGGAAGGAAGCTCTTATTGGACAGATTGGAAGGAGGAAATACAGAAAGACATTGAAGGACAAAGGACAGTTAAAGCTAAAGTTATTTGATAAAGCCTCAAAAATCATATTATCCTCTATTTACCCAAAATTAGACTGTATCTTAAAGTAAATTACATCACTTGGGTTGACAATACTTCCCACAAGAATTATAGACTAATAAAAAACCAGTACTGGGCCCCAGAAACCTCTTCCCGAGTGGTTGATCAGGAAACTCCAGGTGACTCCCCAAACAATATAGGTTGTTGCTGTTGTCTTTGGTTGCCTCTCGGAAGGGGAAGGCAAGCCCTTATTGCTGAAGACAAAGCACATTTAGAACACAGGACTAGAGTATTTGAGTTGTAACTACTTTTAAGCAAGGACACACAATGAATAAAAACAGACAGGTTGATCAATGGAATTGAATCTAGAAATAAACCTACATACCATGGACACTTTATTTTTGACAAAGAAGCCAAAACCATTCGACAGAACAAAGAAATGATCTTCAACAAATGGTGCTGGTATAACTGGATGTCTGCACGTAGAAGAATGCAAGTAGATCCATATTTATCACCCTGCACAGAACTCATGTCCATTTGGATCAAAGACCTCAACATAAAACTGGATACACTAAATGTAATAGAAATGGAAGTGGGGAATAGCCTTTGAATGCATTGGCACAAGAGACAACTTTCTGAACAGAACACCAACAGCTCAGACACTAAGATCTACAATTAATGAATGCGACCTCACGAAACGGAAAAGCCTCTGCAAGTCAAAGGACTCTGCAAATAGAACAAAGTGGCAGCCCACAAAATGGGATGTTTTCTAGTTGTTATATAATACAAGCTGGTCAGCACTGAAACCATGTATCTATCACCAACAAAACGTCGCTCATTAGGTTATGTATGTATGCATGCACATATGTATGTATGTATGTATGCACCATGTTATGTACATAATAATAATAAAGAAAAAGAGGGAAAATGGAAGCACCTGGAGGGGACAGGAGCATCACAAGAAGACCAATACAGACAACTAACCCAGCCCCAAGGGGACTTTTAGTGACGGAGACATCAGCTAAGGAGCATGCATGATCTGGACTTACGTCCTCCACACATGTAGATGATGGGCGGCTTGGTCTTCATATGGGGTGCCTGATGAGTGGATGGGGCCTGTTTCTAACATTGATTCTATTGCCTGATTTTGGATCGCTTCCCCCTGGCAGCACTACCTTGCCTGACCTCAGCGGATGAAGCTATGCTCAGTCCTGATGTCACTTGATGTGCTGAGGAAGGTTAATATGAGGAGCCTCCCCTTATTTGGGAGGAAAGGGAAAGGGGCAGGAGGGGAAGTGAGGAGACTGAGAGGAGGGGAGAGAGGGGGCACCCTTGGGATGTAATGTAAATAAACTAATACAAAATTTAAAAAAAAAAGAAAAAGAGGCTATTAGTTATAAAGCA